GGAGAATATCTCATCATTGACGCCTGTCTTAAAACACTCGGGCACTAAAGCTCGCATGTGCTCCAGCTCGGATATCATGCCTGCTGAGGATTTCACCCTGCCGTACCGTGTCCCACGAACGCAGGACTGGGACCTCTTTTCGTTCCCACACGACTCTCATCCTATCCTCCACCCCTATCTGTCTGTGTTGTGGGAGTCTCTCCGTTGCCCCCCTGTATGCGTGCGTCCAGGGCATACTTCCGCGGAGTTTTTCCCGGACATTTTCCAGGCCACCCGGACATACTGTTGCCCCGCCATGGTCCACCCTAGTCAGCCCTCTCAGAACAACCTCTTTGCTCCACCATACCCATGCTGAGCAGCTGATATCATGTTCGTCGGGCTTCTTCACAGTTCAAGGATTCCCCCCGACCCTCTTCGCCCCTCTCGGACTTTATGCACCACATCACCACGCTACCCCCGTCTTCCCCGCAAGTCGGCAATGTTGTTCAGTTCCCACGCACACAGGCATAATGCATAACAAACGCCCCGTGACGTCACATGATCCTCACCTTTACGGCATAAAAGGGTCCTTCGGTACGGATAGTGATGCCTGGTGAATTGGTCTCTCGGAGTTCGGAGGCCAGCATAGTTACCACATGAGGTTTATCATGGACGAGGACACGATGCAGCACGTAAATCCGTCCAGCTTTTGGTGAAATGTTTGACAAGGCGTGGGATCTTATCTTTCCCCCATAATCTGGTGCGGCTGTGTATACCGACCCTCTCTGTGGATTGCTTGACCCCGGTTTTAAGACCAACACATTCCCGTAAAATTTGTGCCCTTCTGAGCCGCAGATTAGGTGTCTTTCCCACTCCACTCGGTGAATGAGTGGCGATGGAAAGTCCACCACCTCCATGCTCCTATAGGTTCAGAAATCACGATAAAATTACGATTAAGGCACTGGAGAGATGGCAGAGAATGAAATGATTGGATAGAGACCAGCGACGCTCACTTTCAAGAGACACTCGTAGTCCTGATATCCATAAAGTCAGACACGTGCGACGTAATTATGATATGTGAAAGCGATTTTCTTCTTCGACGTGACCAAGGTTCTTGGAGGATTTTTTGAGACATGCAACACCGGAATTTATGATTCCTTACGCCGAAAACAAAAGCCGTATGGGGCGAAGCCGGAGTCTCACGGTCCGACCGAGCCGTCCATCGTGACATAAACTGCTCAGGCTTTTCGAGCCCACGCTCCTTTCAAAGCCACCAGACTAGACGAGGAAAAGCTTGACATGTGAACTTCAGGCGCTGACGAGACAGTGAGAGCCCACAGTGGGAAACCAGAAAAATTGCAGGAATCACCGCACGACACCTCGTGCCACTCTCGACGTGGGACCGCCTTTAACCGATTTTTGTTGGCTTTTGGCGGGTTCCAGCGCATGTTTTATCCGATGAATTAAAGTGAACTGCTACTATCTAAAAATGACAAGCAAGGTATGGTCATCCCTGGCCCTCCTTTTTTGGGGTGCCTGGTGACGGTGGGTCTTTTTCGAGGCAGATGGAAAAACGCCGAAGATATAACAAATTGTAACCTGGTTCCGCCTGCATGCCAAACAAATGTTTCTACGAATTCCTCAAGACTACATCTATATCTACGTCTATCAGGTATTGAAAGCGCGCCTTTTGGGCCGTTGGGCAGATATTGTGCCGCATATAATTTGTGGCAAGGCAATTATTGTCCTTCACGCTCATCTTGTCATGCAGACCTTCAAGTTGGCGAAGGCATTTGTCGGCCATGGAATCCAGCTATGCTGAAGACTGGAAATTTCCAAGGCTGAGAAAAGCAACGCCGAAAAAAATATTCAGTCATGTCAGAACTTCATCTCTGTCTTTCGCTTGCGGACTTATCCGCTATGCGCGTTAAGCGGGAAGTTTGTTGTGGATGCACACACGCCTGTAAACGTCGCGGGTCGACAAACTTTAAATTCACCAAAATTGAATAAATCAGAAAGCGCCGCACACTTCTGTCCCTTCGTGGAAAGAAAGGACCAGTATTACAATAGCTAGTACACTAAGACCATGTTTCCGGGGGGCAACTGACCTTTACTATCGAAAATACGGCCTGTATGACATGGCGTCATTACAAGCACGCAATGCGCACGGAAATCACATCTTTGACTGCACGCTGAAACGATTCAGAATGAAGGAAAAGGAAGCTGATGACCTACATTGGTGGTAGTGTGTGGTTATGTGTTCTACAGCAGATGCCTAATTCGCTCCCTGTACGCCGCCTGTGTGCTTGGAGCCATTTCCCGCTTCTCGAACGATGACACTACGTTTCGTTTGCTTAAAGCTTAAAGGAGAACATTTGCAGACCGGGGTAGAGTAGAGAGCAAAATCTGGCAAAGATAAACATGTATGCGGATATCATTCTTTTAGTTTTTGCCCCCACGCCATTGCCCCCCCCCTCCCCCGGCCCCTCAATGCACATGTTCCCCATACCGCCTACCATCCAACAAGCATCCTGTCAGACATACTCATTGTTCCGCGGCCATGCCCCGTCCCCCTCCGACTCTCTCTGATTTCCACCTCCCCCGCCGTCCCTGCCCTTTTTGTCCAACTGCCATCCCAACCTCTTCCTCCTCCCTTCTCCTCCCCCCCTTCACATCATCCCTCCCGCCGCCCTGGCGTAGTCCATGGCTTGCTCCTTTTCCAACTGCCGCATCCCCTCCTCGTCCTCCACCACCATGCCCCCGCTCGTCAATACCAAGCTGGCGATGCTCACTGAGTTCGCCAGGCTGTTTTCTGTCACGGTTGCCGCATCCAGTACTCCGGCCGTCAACAGATTCTCGTAGGTGAGGCTCGCGGCATTGAACCCCCAACCAAATTCTTTGTCCAAGCACTTGGAGACCACGAAGTTCCCGTGTTTCCCCGCGTTCTCCGCAATCTGCCGCATCGGCTCCGAGAGGGCTTCGAACAAAATGTCCGCGCCGAATATCTCATCATCCAACCCTTCCCTCTTCATCTCTTCCACCACTTCGTCCCGATACCGCTTGAGGTAAAGGAAAGTGGTCCCTCCCCCCGGCAAGACCCCGTATTTTAGTGCGTTCTTGACCGAGTTGACCGCATCCTCATACCTGTGTCACACACCACAGGGGACGCAAAGGGAGGAAGAAATGGAGGGGGAGGGGTTTAAATTAGAGACACCATTGTGTGAGAGAGTGCTGGCAAAGAGACGGGAGTAAGCCGATTTGGGGCAAAACCACGGCCTAACGGAGTTTGAAAGGGGGTCAGACAGGAAGGAAAGGGAGCGGGTGGGTGGGAGGGAG